TTTTCCTTTCCCTCTATTTTCATTTTCTGCTTTTCCCTTTTCTTTGCCATGGTTTTTTTTCTCTCGATTCCTTATTTTCTCTTTCTGCGTTTCTTTCTCTCTTGTTTTTCTCTTCTTTCCTTCCTTCGTACTTTCCCTTTTTTTTTTAGGGTTACGGTCGAATCCTATGGAGATTGCCTACGTATCATGACCCCGCATGAATCAGACCAAGCGTAGTTCTTGCAAATAAATGCAAACATAAGTGCAAGAAATAAAGAAACAGTTTTTGGGAATTTTCAAATTTTCATTAATAACAACTGCGATTACAAAGCTACTAGACTATTTGTTTTTCTTTTCGCGGAAAAGGAAAGTACAAAAACCAGACTCAAAAGCAAAACTACAAACTCGATTATCTAAGAATACATCAAAGCTTCAAATCCTGGGGCCTGCGGGGCATCACTCGGCATCGCCGCGGGCCTGCGTGCAAGACCCTTTTGCAACTGATCCAGCTCATTCATGACCTGGCGAACAAATATCATCACTGAGGCAAACGTGGTACGACCCATCTGCTCACCGGCCTGACACTTCATGACAATATAGTTGGCAATGTTTCTGATTCTTTCCCTGATTTGGCCCTTCTCTTGGAGTAGCCGACTTATCTGTTGGGTGCGAGCCTCTAGCACCTGAGAATCCTGGAAGTGAAGGTCTTGTAACAATTTTATTTCCTTTTCCATCTCAGCGATTAACCCATAGCATTGTTCCCTCTCGGCCTGAAATTCTTTGTCCCGGCGAGCTGCCTTTTCTTCAAGAGTATTCATTTTTCTCTTCATGTTAGCAATGGTTCCCTCATAATTTCTCTTCATTTGTTGTACAAACTGGGCTCTTTCCTCAGTCTTCCATGCGCATTGTGCCCGAAGTCTTGCCATGTTTCCCTCAGATTTTCCAAATTCTTCCTGACAGTCCAGGACTTGCTTCTTTAACCCTTTTATCAATCTTTCGTCGGATAGACTTCTTTCTCGATTCCTGGCATCTATTTTCATTTGCTGAATTTGGGCCTTGAGAGCTTCATTCTCCTGGGCCAATTTCTTTTTATCACTTTCATCAGCTGCGGATTGCAAGGTGTTTTCAAACCGGAGCTCCTGAACCTGTTTTTCCAATGCTCCTATTCGGGCCCTGTACTCCTTTTCTTTGGCTAACCAATCCCATTGCACCTGAGCCTCGTTAGTGAATTGTTGTACATGTGGCCTTTTGGCGGGTCTATCAGGAATTTGAAATCTTTTACCAAACCAGACCAAGTATTTGGGATCTACCTCACCTCTGGCTCGGTCTTGTACTATAGTTTTAGGCTCAAGGTACCTGCACTCATTCCATATCTTTCGGATTCGGCCTTCAGGGAATGCAACTTTCGGGCCTAACTCAATGACTTGCCCCCTCAGGTCTTCATCGTTGTGCACCGTCTGGAATCTTCCAAATTGTCGTAAAACTCGGTAAGGAGCATAGGGTTGAATGCTTCGAATACCCATCAAAATAATATAAGAGACCTCTGCTGATGTGTATATAGCTTCAGTAGCAGGAAGCCATCCATAAGCCCATTCAACTTTCTCTGCAGTGAGGGATCTTAAACATGATGACCAGGCCTCAGTACCCTCAGGGAACTCAATACTTGTCACCCGGGTCTCGAATTCTGCAATACAACTCAATCCGGTTAAACCGTAGTTCATATAGCCTGTGCGGTGACAGAGGTGTTCCTGTATCCACAATTGCAAGAGCAAATTGCAACCTTGAAATAATGTCTCCCCTTCCCGACATTTGGTCAGAGCTCGGTACATTTCTGCTACAATCAGAGGAACCACTGTGCTAGTAGGTTTTTTCATGGCAACATCTAGCATCCCTACTAGGCCAAGGTCTATGTGACCATCTTTTCTTGGACAGATTACCATTCTCAAAAAGGCTACCATGAAGGCTAATCCCCGTCAGGCTTCCCATTTGTCTTTATTTCCAGCATGTGTTAATCCTGTGTTGGGTTCCTCGAAACCTTTGGGGTTACCATACCGGTGATATAAGAAATGCAATGTACAACACCCTTTCGCCAGGTGCGGGTCTTGATTATCTCGGCTAATGTTCAACAAATCCAAGAACCTATGGAGGGTTACCGGTCGTGGGGCCAATGGGTATCTACCTCGGAGGTTCCCGTTGAGACCTGCGTATCCGGCGATCTCTTCTAATGTAGGTGTGAGTTCAAAATCTGAAAACCGGAATACATTACGGGTCGGGTCCCAAAATGGTATTAGTGCCTCAATGATATCCTTCCTTGGTTTGATTTTCAATAAATCTACGAGACCGCCAAACTTTTGACCACAGTATCTCTGCTTCCTTTTCCCAAGTCATGCCACCACATATGGAGTTTCAAAGGGATGTCGCTCAGGACTGAGAAGGTTTCGATGTTGCTTGAATTCATCCTGCACATTTATTTAGGGGACTTTAATGATTTATTTTGCAAAAATTCTTTATTTAGGAAACAGGACTTGGATTTGCAAATACGGCCTTTCAACACTTCTGGGGGAAGATTTTAAGGCTGTGCCTGCAAACCATTTAAAAAAATGACTCAGGGTGGCTGTTCTTGCAAAAACGGCCTTCCGGCGTCCTTTTGGGGACATTCGTCTTATTTTAGACAAGAATGGCATCACCCGACTTATTTATGACGCAAAATTAAAATTTGACATTTTTTTGTCTATTTTTGCAAAAAGGGAGGTTGGACCCGATGAGGGTTGCCTACGTATCTCACATCTGGTGAGAATCAAACCAGCGTAGTTCGGGCAGATTTGCCAAAATCAAAACTATTTTCAACACTTTTCTTTTTATTTTTCCAACTATTTTCCTTTTTCCATTTTACAAAAATCCGGCAGCATTTCGGTACTATTTGGGCATTGGGGTTTTTTCAAAACAAATGGTCACCCTTACTTAGTCCTAACAATGTTTATTTTCATAATCCACTCATTTAGACAAGTCGGTCAACATGCGAAACCGAGCAAATAAATGCGCAATTAGCACGTAAGATGCATCGGGATGGTCAATTTATTTCAGGTCACCTGTCCTAGACGGACCCAACCCCTGTGTTGAGTCCCCTAAGTCAAATGCACATGATGCAAACAAACATCCTACTAGGGATCCGGCATGAGTTATTGTTCTTCTAGGTTTAAACCCTAGGTTTATTGGTCTAGACCTGGCTTACCCGAGCGGACAACTCGAGCCGAGGGGGAGGCAGTGTACCGGGGATACAGAAGCTCCGCCGGCTTAGCAACTTATCCAAACCTCGTTCTAAATTGGGAAAGACTCTAAACAGAAGAGAAGCTACACGAAGTGCACCCTTCTCCATGATGTAGAGACTCAGAAAGAGGAAGGGATTCGCGACAGTTTATATATACAGTTCAACAAATATCAAAGCGGTAAAACATTTAGCACATATAGCATGGAACATGTAGAAAAATCAGATAAAGCCAAGTATAACAATTATACTAAGCTCAAATTCTTGAACCCTGAACTGAAGTTCTGGGTTCGTATCCCCAGCAGAGTCGCCAGAGCTGTCACACCTCCTTTTTACACACCTACCCCGAAGGATAATGTATAAGGGAGTTTTTCCATTTAAAGTGACATTATTCGAAATGGAATTATTTATTTATTTTTAGAGTCGCCACTTGGGAAAGGATTGGCTTTTGGTGTCCCAAGTCACCGGTTTAACTTAAGTCCCAAATCGAGGAAAATTGTCGACTTCCCAATTGGAGTCTGCGAACTAGAAATTCTGAATAAGGAATTCTGTTGACCCGAGGGAAGGTGTTAGGCACCCCCGGATCCCGTGGTTCTAGCACGGTCACTTAAATTATTATAATTGACTAACAATCTAATTTTAATACATGTCATCTTATAGTGCAATTTTAAGATTATTTACCGCCTTTAGTTGATTTTTAGGAAAGTGAACGTCGTTTAAGAAAATATTTTTGGATCACGTCACATGAAATGCACTCGGATCCTCGACATATTCTTATTCAACGTTTTGGGATTTGGATTTGGGTTGCATGAAATGCACACCCGTATTTAGGAAGGTAAAATTATTAAAAGCGCGCCTAAAGCGGCTAAGTATTTTAGTTACGCATTCAATGAGGGCCCCGCAATTTATGCATTTTTGTTTGGCGAGGCTCATCTCGCTTTTATTTAAAGGCCAGCCTAAAGCAAACTACGATTTTTTATTTATTTTTTGTCTCTAAAAAGGGCCTAATTAATTTGCATTTATAAATTCGGGCCTCGAGTTTAAGTCCGAATTCAAACAAAAGGGAGGACCCTCTTAATTTGAACCCGCTACCTAACTCGAAAACCTAAATTTATATTGCAAATTAATCCCCCATATTCCTAATGTAATTTTAATGGATTTTTAGCTTCCAACGATTTTGGGCCTTGGAAGTTTGGCCCAAGAAGAGGGAAAATACAGCTTATGTTGAAACTGGGCCAGCTTTGGGCTTCTTATTATGACACTAGGCCCAGATTTGCTTTATTTTTTGTCTCTTACAGCCTTGGCCTGAATAGACTGCCAGCAGCTAACCGACTCAAAGGAAAATTAGGCTTCCTGAATTGTTTTTGCCCAGCCCAATCTCCCAGTGTTTGTTAATTCAACAGGTTTGAGAACCCTGGCCTGTAACAGGCCCAATTAAAGCTGAAACTACCGTAGAGGAATATGCAAACTCTTGTTTAATTACTTAAGGTTGCAATAGTTTAACACATCATTTTTGTACTATAGCTAATTGTTTCTTTACCTAAATCATCAATTAACATGAAACACTATGTAAGTAATAATCTGAGTCTTTTTCTTTTGACTTGAGCCTATTACACAAACGGATTGGCCAAATTATATCAAAACAATAATGACTGACTAATATGGGTATACACACTATTTTTATACTAACAGGCATGCTGTCCAAGTCAAATTCAGCTTTTACACTTATGCTTTCCAAATCTAATTCAACGGATTATTAATCACGAACGGAAATCTGGAATGTTGTTGCGTAAAATCAAAATCTAAACTAATCACCAAACGAAACATACTAAGCTAATGACTAATTTACAATCCAACACAAACCACTAGTCTTATGACAGTCCAAATCAGTTTTCAACAGTCCTGATTATACAGTACACAGTTCAGAAATGTAGTAATTGCAAAATGAAAAAAAAACTACTTTAACACTACAACAGAACCATCAGAACAATTAGCAACAAATGAGATTGCAACTTCATTTCATTTTTTTCAGCTGGTAATCTACACGAGTTTCAGAACATGTACCTGGAATCAAAGTACAATAAGATGAAGGAGAATCAGTAGCAAATAGCAAAGCGGCAGCTCATATACAGTCCAGCAAATACCAGAATCAGTCCGGAATCGAAATGTGAAAACACGGTTCCAATAATCCACAAAACAGACTTGAATAAACCAAAATGATTTGAAATTAAACCCAGGAGATTATTTTTGAACTTCAGCAAATAGAAACAACCCAGAACACACTCGTTTGACCTCAAATTTATGCAAAATTGGACTAGAACTCAAAACTAACTTCAAACAAAGCAATGTAACAGTGTTTTTGGATTTTTACTGGATTTTTGTGTGGTTTTTTTTTTTTTTGATTTTTTGCAGGAATTAAGATCTAGAAGAAAATTTAAACTACAGAATTCAGATTTTTTTGATTTTTTTTTTGAATTTGAAATTCAAATTTGAGAATCAGATCTGCAGAGATGTTTTTTGGGGGGGAAATTAAGAGCTGAAAGTCTTTTGGTAATTTTCAGAGGTGTCAAAACTTGTGAATGAAGGCAGAATACATGCCTTTTATAGGCAAACATTAGGGCAACTTTCAAATTTTTCCTTTACACCTTAGTCCCTTATTAATTTTCAAATTTTAACTACTTAAACCCCTCATTTTATGCCTTGTTGGCCAAGTAACACTACTAACTTTCCGCATTTCAAATTAAAACCCCATCTAGAAGGTTCTAGGGAATTCTATTTCTACTTTAAAATACTTAAAATACCCTTGAACTATTTTTCAAATCACTAACCCATATCACACTAACCCTGACCCTATTACCTTGGTCAAGACTGACTATGGTTTAACAAAACACATGCTGGATTAAACTACTATATCCGAACAATTCCAATTATACTAAAAGAAGACCTAAAATTGAACTAAGAGTCTAATTATCCTATTTTAGGTATTAAAATCAAAATCAACTATAAATTGAACCTGAACAACCAGAATTAGTTCTAATATCAATCAAGCCAAAGTTAAGAATTAAACAACTTAAAAAAGCAGAATCATGTAAAACAATGAAACGAACATAGAATTATGTGACCACAATCAAACAAACAATCAAGCATACAATAAGAACAAGATTAAACTACATGACTGTAATATAAAAATCAGAACCCTAAATCAAGCACAAAAGTAAATAAAATGATGAAGGTAAGCATTCTGGGACATGACGAGAGAAGGAGACGAGTATGAACAAAAGAAAAATGAATAGAAAAGAAAAGAACAAAAAACGAGAAACAAAGAAAAATACCTAATGAGATTGAACCTGGAATGACTTTGCATAGACTGATGGACCTCAAAATGAGTCAAAATCCATGCCAATCTCTCATTCTTACATAGAATAGTCGATTAGCATGGGTTTTGACCCATTACCGGCCCAGGAAAATATTTTGACTCAGATTCCGGCATTGACCCGATTTCGATTGGAAATTTGAAGTGCTCCAGGGGTGTTTGAAGGAGGATGAGTAAGGATTTGGGAAGAGGGAAGTGAGGAGAGTCTGGGGTGTGATTTTGGGGAGGTTTGGGAGGCAGCGGCGCCGTACACGGCGGAGGCGGCGCTAGGGTTTCTCTTATTCGAAGGATTCGAGGGGGATTTGAGGGAAACTAGGCTTGGATTCGTAATGAGGAGGATGAAGGGAAGTAGGGGTGTATTTTTGGTGGCCATTGGGTGATCGCCGCCGGCGGAGACGATTTTCGGCCGGCGGCGACGGCGGAGGGTGGCGGCGAGGCGGAGGTACGAGGAAGGGGATCTTTGGTCTCTAGGGTTTCAAATATTTCATACAGTTTTATTTAATTGTCACGATTGAACCATGGCCGTTGGATTAGGGTATATGGACGGCTCAGATTTCTCGGCGCCAAACGACGCCGTTTAGAAATAAAGGGGGGCAGGCCGGGTCTGGGGTTGTTGGGCTAGGCATTTGGTCCGATTTGGTTGGGTTTCAAGGGTATTGGGCTAGGATATTCGTTAAAATGGCCCAAACATGGCCAGCCTTCTCATTTAATCCCTTTTTTTTTGTGTATTTTACTTACATATATGTTATTTATTATTTTTTTTTTGAATTTTCTGATTTTATTGTGTAAAATAAAAGACCCAAATTAAATCCACTAATTAACTAATTCCTAATTTAAGAGAAAACTAAATCAAAAATGTAAAAATGCAAAGTTTAAGATTGTAAAAAGACTATTTTGTTATTTTTCTTTTATTTCCAATGATGTTTAATTAATGTAAAAATCTAGAATTAGGTCCTAAATGCAAGTATGCTATTTTTGTAATTCTCATTTTTTATGACACCTAAAAATGCACACAAAATGCAAACAAAACACAAAATCATGCAATTAATTCCTAAAAATTCAAATACTAAAAGAAAAATTCTAATTCAAATGAATTCTATACGAGTAATTTAAGCGTGGCAAAAATTACGTGCTCACATGCATATGCCAAACAAAGAAAGAGAAAAGCAATAAATTAGAAAGAGAGAAGTTGGAAATGGACTTGGACAAAATTTACAGCAAGATTATGAACTCTACTAAGACAAATTTTTTTTAAAAAAAATTAACAAGCAACATAATCCTTCATACTCAGAAAAACATGATTTTCAACTTCCATATTAAGTCATAAAATTAGATATTAAAGTCCTTGTAGCATGCTCTTTTAAAAAAAAAAGAATGACGAAGTAGCAGCAGACTTTTCTAAGACAAATAATACGTATGGTATCATTTAACGCACAATAACACATGCTTTCCTACTTTATTTCAAGTATTAGGACCAAATACTAAAGTATTCTAATGGCACACTCCATAGTAACAGTAATAAAAAGGGAAATCATTTGAAAGGTTCATAAATGTCAAATTTTTGCACTTAGTTAAGAACAAACTTCTCTTAAGCGCACATACAAGAATTTTTAATAATGGCAGGTGGTTTCAATAAACTTCAAGTCCTTTGCACGTGATATTTTAGCCTTCCTAAATATTATTTTTTCTACCATCTGAGAGTACAATTTCAGTCTACAATGCACTGTTTAAGCATTAACTAGTCCTAACTTTATAATAAATCTATGTTATTTTCAGCTAGAAAAACTTAACTACTGAAGCAAACATAAATACAGAGCTATCTAGCAAAATAACTTTAGATATTCACTGGTTTAAAATGGTCAAGATAGTTTATTAAATTCTTTTCATACACATAGCATAAATCTATAGCTATAAATATAGTTCTTTACTCACAAAAGAAGAAATATTTTAAATATGGAGTATTCTTCAAATGTTCATCTTAAGGCAGTGGCTTCTATACATGTAGTATCTATATAAAAGGTCTTAAATCTTATTATTTTTAGAAACAAACTCTGTGAAGCAAACCACTTTTAAAACTTATTACTAAATATGAAAACATTCAATCTAAACAACCAAATAATTAATTCCTAACAATATGTTTTCTATGGTATTTACACTAAAACATAAAACTTGGGATATATTTTGAAAATGAGAGTGCAGACACCGTAACTTTAAATATATGGAGTGAAGTGCAACATTTTGACAGAAGAAAGTAGGGAATTGTAATATACTAAAAAATAAAAAGCCATTTCATCAATTACTAATGAGTTAATTGCAGAAGCCTATTCACGCTTAATTGAACTCTTATTTCGATTTAACCAAATACCTATAACTTCATGGCTTCTACAGAAAATTCACGATTTTAACAAGCAACCATTAAAACTCATACAAAAGAATGTACAACCATTTTAAATCTTCAAAGACAAAGCGAGAACAAAAATTTCAGCACTGACCTTTTGCGATGCAGCGAACTTGGGCGCGTCGAATAGATCTATAGACTCTGGCTTCGAACTAGAACTTGAGCTTACAACCGCAAACTTTATAATTTCCGGAAAACAAAGTGCATAGAAAAATTCCTCTGTTATAGCAAGGTGTAACAGAGGCGACACAACTAAGAATTTAAGAGTATTTAGAAGAATAAAATTGTTTGAAGATGACTCCAAAAGTTACTCTAAATTATTACCAAACATAGGTATTTATAGAAGAATTATTAGGGCTTTTCTAGTGTTAATTTGGGCGGGATTCTTGAAGGATTCGGATTTCAAATTGCTAAAGAACCATTTCAAATCGCGTGTAGTAAGAAAACAAAGAAGATATCGGCAGAGGGAGCAGAGATTCGGTTGCCAAAATTGTGAAATCTTGGAGGAAACAAAAAGAAAATCCTTTTTTACCTTTGTCAACTTCATTGTAAATGGCAAATGAATTTGAACTCTTCAATCAAATTGCTTTGAGTTTGCAGAAAATTTCCTTGGAATGGCCACAAAAATTTTTGATTATAAGATGTGGGAGTAAAATTTTCTAAGAAAATAGAAGGAGCCAAAGTTCTTTTGCCATGGCAGAGAAAAGAAATGCTGTTTTTCTTTGAAAGACGGAAAGAGATGGAACCCTAGTTAAATTTGATTTTAATATTAGAAAGAAATCCAACCGTTGGATTAGATGCATCTAATGGTTGAGATTAATCCCGATATAAGTAAATAAGGTATAATAAAATAAATAAAGCAAGCATTTATTTGGAGTTCTCTAGAAGATAGAAGAAATGATCTTGACCATTAATTTAAAATGGACTAGATCTGATGAATCCATGTGGCAACGTATGGAGTCAAAGTGTGAAGGGATGAGGAGAGAATGTGCTAGGCGTGTGTTGGTCAAGGGATTTGGACCGTTGGTGCCTATGTGGCGTTGATATGGAGGCTCATGTGGCGCTTATGTGGAGTCCATGTAGAAGAAAGAGTTAGGCAGATGGGCTGGCGGATATGGGCTATTTTATGGGCTTGTTTTGATCTGATTTTTCTTCTTTTGGGTCAAGAAATCTTGAATATGTATTTTTAAAAATAAAAGCTCTCTTTGAATAACAATTGGACTTTGCTAAGATGACCGAATTTGCATTTAAACGTCCCTTTCTCTTAGATAAATATTATTATACTTCCATAATTATAATAATTTATAATAAAATTTATTACATTATATTGCTATAAAAATTAACATTTAGTATGTATGCATCTATATAGAATAGGAAATAGAGAAATAAATTATAATTGCCAAATAATGCTTGTATTAATTATTACGATGCATTAGCATTAAATAATAATATGATATTGATTAAGTAACTAAAATAATAATAAAGATATAATTACAATAAATAAATATGCTAAATTATATTAAGGATAATAATTATATTTTATTTTAAAAATCTTGAGGCTAGAAAAAATATAACAAATGTTATGGATACAAATATGTAAAATATACTTAGTAAATTATTAAGAATTAGGAAGTATTGTCACGACCCAAATTCCACTAAAGGTCGTGATGGCGCCGGACACCACTGTCAGGCAAGCCAACCCAAAATACTTAATTAAATTCTCATTTTAATACTCTTGAAAACTATGACCTTTCTTCAAATTTACCAATTTAAGAAGATAATTGCTACAAGTCAAATTAAATAATAAGCAATTAATACAAAATACTTCGTAACCATCCCAGAACCCGGTGTGACAAGTGCATGAGCAATTTCTAAGAAAAATCGAATAAAGTACAACAGCTGTCCGGAATACAATTGGACAGAAAATAAATAGAATCTTGAGAAGACTATACTAGCTGCGGGTCGCCTCGAGGAAATACAGCTCACCTAGTCTGCGTGTCAACCATGCTGCTACGCCTGCTAAGCCATTAGTGGCGCATGTGCCTGTGCAACAGAAATGCACAGAAGTGTAATATGAGTATAAAAACAACGTGTACTCCGTAAGTATCCCGCCTAATCTCGAAGAAGTAGAGACAAGATGGCAACTTCGACACTTACTAAAGGTCCAGTAATATTATTATTGATGCAATGACTCACAGATTTATTAAGAACTACAGTAGATTCAAGTAAATACTAAACAGGTAAAAGTTCCTTTTTATTAAAAGTCTCTGGATTCATAATCCATTAATTAACAAATTTTCTCAAGTCGGGAGAACAGATATTAGTATCAACAAATATCAAAGCAAGCAATACAAGCATGTGCAACTCATGCCGAGGTCGTACGGCCCGATCCAACAATATTTAAAATGTGCACTGCCGAGGGTCGAGTGGCCCGAACCATAGATGCATCTATTACCCCGCTCGCGAATCATACATGCGAGCGGTCAAATATAAATAAACACGACAATCAGTCAATCCTGAATTTATCAGGGAACAATTATCCAAGGAAAAGCCAAATTCTCTTTTAACAATTCAAGAAAATGGAGTTTAATATTCTTAGAAATTCATTTACCAATTCGATGGGATTTAAGAAATTCAATTGTCAATAAGATCCCAGATATTCCAAGTATAGCATGCCTTTTATGTCCTAAACTACCCGAACTTACACATATTAGTAGCTACGCACGGACTCTCGTCACCTCGTGCGTACGTAACCCTCACAAATAGGAGCACACAACCAATTATTTCACCTATGGGGACAATTCCCTCTTACAAGGTTAGAAAGGAGACTCACCTCGCTCCGAAGATCCATAACCGGCATTCCACGCCCTTCCGAAGACTTGAATCGTTGCTAAATACTCCCAAAACTAGCCAATGATTATGCAAATTCATTAATATACGATAAAATACTCATATTAGTCCAATTTATAACAATTCCTAACCCCGGTCGAAAGGTTGACAAAAACGCCTTCGGGCCCACGTGCCCGGATTCCGAATTTTTTTGAAGATTAAGCTTACCCATGAATCCATGAACTCAAATATATGATTTTCTCTTAATTCCATACACAAAATTATTGTCAAATTCCAAGAATATAAATTTTCTAGGTTTTCCCTCAAACCCCAAGTTTTCTACGAATTTCCATGTCCAAATCCGTATATAATAATGTATTTAACTCAAAACTAACATAAATTACTTACCTCATGCTTGGTGGTGAAAATGACACCTCAAAGTTGCTCCAAATCGGCTCCAATGGAAGAAAATGGGGTTGAAATAAACCCAACCCCCGATTTAAAAGAACCTCACTACCTCCAGCATTTCCGTATCTGCGGTCAGGGGACCGCATCTGCGGTCGCGCATCTGCGAGAAATGGGCCGCATCTGCAAAATTGGGCCAAAGAGCTGGGACCGCATCTGCGGTCTCCAGGCCGCATCTGTGGAGCCGCTTCTGCGGCTTGGGAGCCGCATCTGCGGTTCCTGGCCTGACCTGCCCTGGGCCGCTTATGCGATGGGAGGACCGCATTTGCGGTCTCGCACCTGCGGTCCACCAACCGCAGGTGCGGTTATGAACAAAGCAGCAGCTTCAGCACTTCTCAAAATTTCATTTTCGATCCGTTAACCATCCGGAATCCACCCGAGGCCCCCGGGACCCTATCCAATCATACCAACCAGTCCCAAAACATATTACGGACTTGCTCGAGTCCTCAAATCGTATCAAACAATGCCAAAGCCACGAATCGACCTCCAATCCAAACTTTATGAACTTTAGAATCTCAAACTTCTACTTTCGATGTTTAAACCTATCAAATCACGTCCGATTGACTTCAAATTTTGCGCACAAGTCATATTCGACATTACGGACCTACTCCAACATCCGGAATCGGATTCCGACCCCGATATCAAAAAGTCCACCTCAGGTCAAACTTGTCAAAAACCTTCAAATTTCTATCTTTAGCCAAATGACTCCAAAATGCTCCACGGACATCCGAATTCACTTCCGATCGCGCTCCCAACTCCAGAATCACCATGGAAGCTACTCCCAGATTTGAATTCCCAAACGGACATCCGTAACACTGAAATGCACTGCAACCCAAACCTATGAAATTTCTTCCAAAATGCTAACCTCCAAAATAGGCTCCAAAACGCTCCCGGGTCATCCAAACCCCGATCCGGGCATCCGCCCAAGTCCGAAATCCTCATACGAACCTATTAGAACCTTCGAATCCCGATTCCGATGTCGTTTACTCAAAAATCCAATCCTAGTTGATTCTTTCAACTTAAAGCTTCTGAAATGAAAATTCTCCTTCCGAATCAACCCCGAACTTCCCGAAATTCAATTCTGACCATGCGTACAAGTCGTAATGCCTGAATTGAAGCTGCTCATGGCCTTGAACTGCTGAACGGTGTGCTAGGGCTCAAAATGACCGATCGGGTCATTACATTATCTCCCACTTAAACATATGTTCGTCCTTGAACGTGCTAGGAACTGTGCTGGGGTTGTCTGGAATCACTGCTTAATACCTCGTTCACCTACCCGTGCTACCACAACTTAGTTGGGCATATCAGCTCGATCAAATCTAAAGATAACCTCTTTCATTTAGGCAAATAAGCCTTGGAGCCCAATTCCGTCATCCGGAATTCTCTGCCAGGCCTGTCCCAACATACGCTCACTGTATCAATAACTACACGCAGCACCAAAACATGACTGTGTATCTTAGCTGAATTCACGTCTTGCACCACTTTACTCACAGGACCACAATAATATTCTCTGATCGAATAAATCGAAATTCCATTAATCTGATGCTCCCATTGCACCTCACGACCTACATAGGTCTTGCTCTAGCTCTTACAATACCGCCAAGACGGAAGAGGTGTGTAGAAATTCATAACCAACTGTCGAACCAACAATTCATTGGGTCTATACTCCTGTCAAGAACCATCACCTCTTTCTGAACCAAATAACCTTATCTTACCCTGTACTAACTGCTCAGGCAACAAGTCACCCCTGACATGACCAAAAGTCTCATGTGATGCCACAACGTGCCAATAGGCAACCATCTCGAGCGCGACACATAAGGAAAATGAACTCTGGAAGGGACTACTCAAATCACGTAACTAATATGAAATTTTTCTCAGAAAATGGAGAAACAAAACACATAGAATAGAATATAGGGGACTATAATTATCATCTCACTTTTGCGGCGTGCAACCCGATCCGCACATAAAACTAACATAAGGAGATACACGTCGAGCTGAATTTGCTCATTACAACAAGATATCGTATATCGGTCACAAGCACGCTAAGTGCATAATACCATCCCTGAGGGGACATATAGTGCCATAAGCTACAAACTCGAGCACAACTGCGGTGCGATATACGATCTGAATCTTAAGAGACATTTTGCTCATATAACATCACTCTACGCGGAACCTTGACACATAAGCAATTTCCCAAGCCATCTCACAACTCACAAGGCGCAATATATTATTGCATGAAATAACTGACGACGGAATAACACCCTGACCGCCCTTCCATAAGGAGCGAATTACTGAAATGGACACATTTGGCATGATATAGAGCCCGTATTCACATTTCAATCCCTCCACAGCTCTCAAGATGGTTCTGATCGCACCGAACTAGGCTAATAACCTTTCAGAGGTCCATATATACTCCCATGCTCCTCATAACGCATAAGGACAACCATC